CTTGTTAAAAAACCTGAGTGTTTGCATGCACATCAGTTTTACAGATCTGACTGATTTGTATGCAGACTGTTGATTCTTCATCTCTTAGACAGATGCAATCCGAATTCAGAGAAAGCACCCATTTAGTTTACTCTTACGACATGCTTTGGTTGGGGGGGGGGGGGGGGGGGGGGGGGTGGGGTGGGTCTGTTCTAGTTTTCCCCACAATGGGGCCCCGGAGCCCACATGGGATTTGCTACATTTAACGACATAAAGTCATAATAAACAAGCCGAACAATATCTGAGGAAGCGGAGATGTGGTTTTACAGAAGAATCCTTAGAATTTCTTGGACAGCTGAGAAGAGTAACCCAGTTGTTTTGAAAGAGGTGAATGCTCTAAGACAGCTTGTCACAAACATCGTAAAGAGACAGTCATCATTTTTTGGTCATGTTATGAGAAGAGGGAAAATGGAACATGTTGTGACCACTGGAAAGATCTGTGGAAAAAGAGAGAGAGGAAGACAGTATGAAAAAATTCTTGACAGTCTTCTGTCATGGCATGGAAGGGTGTCAACACATGAACTGATACACGCAGATCGCGGATTGTGGAGAGGCATGATCGCCCACGCCAGTCAGCAAGGCACTTGATGATGATGATAATAATAAATTTAATAATTATAAATATGGTAAACAGAGAGCAAAGATGAGACCACATGGAAGATGGAACACAAACATCAGTACTTTGAGAAATGAAGTCCAGTTTACACAGCACATAATAAAGAGCCTACAGAAGATCTTTCCTTCTTCCCTAACACCTTGTTGAGAAGAAACAGAAGAAAGAGATAAAAGCGTGAACATTTTGTGGCAGCAGCAAAATTTATTTGTTTGAAAAGGGGAAAAGAATTAAGCAATATATTCCTAAATGGCTTGCCCATAATAGCATAACCAGGAGCAGAACACAACCCTCGTCTGCAGAATGGCTATCAGAGGAGGTTCGAACAATGACCATCCATGGTCACCAGTGATGCGTGTTATACTGATGAAAATTATACAATTGGGTGCCAGTTAGAAGTCTTGGGAAATAAAGGTGGTTGGCTTGATGTTGAGCACATCAGCCACGAGCGCCAATTTGTCTTTACAAATATAAGTCTAACATTGATGCGTCACTGACTTAGAGGGGTCCTCTGTTTGTTCTTCATTTTATGGCACATACACACACATTAACTGGTCTGAAACCTTACAAGGAATTGAACCTTAGACTTCCTGCTGTGGTATACATTCACTGCCACCCTTCCACGAGACTGCTGAAATGTTAACTAGGAGATTTCAACTTTCTCTTGTCCACAAGTCCGCTAACAAATATTAGTCCAGGGAAACCCAATTAATTTTATATAATCAATGTTGGCTTCAACATTTACAATAGAATGTTTGAATTTGGCCACAAAACCATCAGATAATTTTTTTCCTCTATTTCTAAGCTTTTTATGTCTGCTTTTTCAGCCAGACTTTTGATTTGGGAGGAAGCGGGGCTTTGACGATTATTTGTTTTGTTGGAATGCCATTTCTGTGTTTTCACGCACAAGATAAAATTAAATATGGCCACTGCTGATAATGTCTGTATTTAATACTAAAACTAATATGCCAGCAAACATTCCGATTTTAATTAAAATGAAAAAAGTTTGAAGTTGCTCATTATGATTTGCCAGATTGGACCATTTTAAAAATATTTTTGGCTATTCTTACTTTGTGGTTTTGCTCCTATTCAGTTCACTTTTATTTTATCTCCTATATTTTCTTCTATTTATGTTTGTCCAAAGCGTTTTTTGTTTTATTCTGTGTTAGTGTTTTTTGCTTTGTTTTTAAAATATTTATTTATTTGTTGTTATGTTGCTTCATGCTAGTACAGTGATTTCCAACCCAGGAGGGATAAGGGCAGGGGTGGAATGCGGGGGAGTTTTAAGAGGCCATTCAGGAATTTTGAAATTGAGTACATTTGTACATGTAATATTCAGTTGTACTACTTTTTTTTTTTTTAGTTTATAAATAAAATATTTGTAAACCATTAAACAAAAAAAAAACCAAGGATGCTTTTGTTTTCATGACAATGTGTAAAGCAAATATCATCTAAACAAAACAGTGTCAGCTGTCACATTGATATTCAGACAGATATTTATCAGTTGTTTAGTGATTGTTTCTTGTATGTTATTTGACACTTTGATTTAGGTTGATATTTTTCTCCAAGATCTTGTTAATTGTGCTTGGGATTTTTTTTTCTCTGGGATTTTTTTCTCCTCTTTTTAATCACCATATTTTTCTAAAAATAAAATAATGTTGTGGTGGGATTTGTGAGTGAGGATGTGCTTGTCTTGCTGTACGTTCGGGAAAGGGGGGGGGGGGGGGGGGGGGGGGGGGGGGGGGGGGGGGGGGGGGGGGGGGGGGGGGGGGGGGGGGGGGGGGGGGGGGAGGTCTGAAAAAGTTTGAAAACCACTGAGCTAAAATGTTAGGATGACCACTATTATTCAATACCTTTTCAACAGGTGCAGACAATCTCCTCCTCTTATCTCCCATTTGCTACAAACACATACACAATTCAATAAATGGTGCTTTACCTGTCATTGACCCAGTTGGCACTTTTCCGTCTTTCCAGAGGATAGTAAACACTGAACCATGGGGAGGCATGGGAATCACATACGTTAGGAAAAGGTTACCAGTCAGAGCATGGGATTTCAAGACCATTTTGGCCATCACATGTATCTAGTGTGCTTCTTCTTAGATATTCAGATGTCAACCAGTTTGCAATAATTTTTATAATTTAAACAAAAAATCTTGTTTTAACTTAACTTTTACTTCTCTTCCTGATCCCCCCTCCCCCACCCCTTTTTTTCAAAGAAACACATTCCATGGCATTTTGTTCCCACAAATCTACTTCAGTACCAGTGTCAATCATGTCCCTCTTGCACAAATTGTTATGTCATAGCAGCTTCTGACCTTGACATCTTCTACCTATATGTAACTAACCATAGAAGAAGTCCTTGAAGACTCTGCCACCCTTCGTTCTTCAAGTGTGTCCCAGCCACTTGGGGACTCTGCCACCCTCCATTCTTCAAGTGTGTCCCAGCCACTTGGGGACTCTGCCACCCTTCATTCTTCAAGTGTGTCCCAGCCACTTGGGGACTCTGCCACCCTTCTTTCTTCAAGAGTGTCCCAGCCACTTGGAAACTTGCCACTCTTCATTCTTCAAGTGTGTCCCAGCCACTTGGGGACTCTGCCACCCTCCATTCTTTAAGTGTGTCCCAGCCACTTGAGAACTTCAGAAACCGAGCATTGAGAAAACTGAAATGATGCCTGCTCCAGCATTTGTGATCTTGTTTTGCCACTTAATTAAGTGTTATTCCTTTACATATTCTCCAGTAGCAGCAACGAGGATCTTTTGTCTAAACAAAATTGTTATGTTTGTTACAGTTGCTGAATTCAAAGCAATTTTTTCCCACCATTTGCTCGCCCTGTTTTAGTGGTGATATGTGTTGTTGTAAATATTTTTCAGATATTGTGAATTTCATATGTTAGATAGCAGATGTCATATGTTGCATATGCATGATGCTTTCAAGTTGTTCACATTTTGTTGCAATAATTTCATATTGATAAATAATATATTAAAGAGGGCAGTGTAAAAAGGAAATTTGACTTTTAAATCAATGTCACAAATAAGTATCAGACACATTTAGTAACTAGATGTATGAGTAGCATCAAAATTTGTCTTTAGTTTAATACCATGAAAAGACATCAGTCGAAGCAAGAAGTAGAACTAGTCAGTTTTGCATCATCATAGTCAAAAACGATACTTGAATGTTGCAGCTAAAAAGCCTTCATGTATATTGAGGTTGATGTAAATATATGTGTGTGTATGTGTGTGTATATATATATATTTGTCCTATTTTATATATACACACACACACACACATAAAAGAAACAATCCTAACCTACACAGTATGTGGTCAGTGCACTAGCCACTTGGCTCTAAATTACCACACACAAACACGATGTTTAAATAAAAGATTTATATATTATTTATTTTTTATATTTATATATATATAAATCTTTTTTAAAACATCGTGTGTGTGTGTGTGCGTGCGTGCATGCGTGCGTGCGTGGGTGGGGGGGGGGGTGGGGGGGTGGTAATTTAGAGCCAGGTGGCTAGTGCACTGACCACATACTGTTGAGGTTAGGATTGTTTCTTTTACCTTCAGCTAGCAAACCATTCTTATCCTTTACTGAGGATTGAACCCAGGTCTCCCACTTAAGAGCCCAGCACCATCACCACTTGGTCAGCTGCTCTTCACCTGGGACTGAAATAATGTTTCAACTCAGTGGCAGACAGTTTTGATTGTAACATTGTGTCTTCCAATGTTTATGTACAGTAGAGCAAGAAACTTTGAATCCTCATAATTTTAATTAACTCTACTTTAAGGCAGGATAAGTTAAAGTAGCAGTTTTGGGACAGTACACATAAAAGGGACATAAAAATAGGACAGAACAAGTTGAAAACTGTATACCTCTCATAGTTCACTTGGTTGGGTGTCCCTCACAGGACGTTGCAGAACCAGCCCCAGCATTATTTGGCTGTTGTAGTTGTTCTAGGCAAATTTTTTGTTGTTTTGTTTTTTTTTTTTTTTTTTTTGTTGTGTGGGTGGTTTTTTTGTGTGTTTTTTGTTGTTTGTTTTTTTTGTTTGTGTTTGTTTGGTTTTTGTGTTTTTTTTACATTCAATAGTTTGTCATTACTTACTGAATGTTCAGCCCTCGATACCATTGTTGAAACTAACACAAGGCAGTCTGCTGCCAAATTGCCTGCAGCTGGGATCAAACCCAGCACTCTGGCATTACCAAGAGCATTCATAACAGCTAAGCCACAGATGCTGACACCTTGCATTGAGTAATCAGTAAACACAAGATGAGTTCTCTAGTAATGAAAGAGTTAATATCCTGATGAGGTTATATCAGACATGGAAATTTTTTGTTGACAGAGTTCTGTCGAGTGGACTATGAGTGCCGTGCAGGTCGCACGTGTGTCCTTGGTGTCTGCAAGTGTTACACGCCCTCCATGTGTGCAGGTCATCACAAACCTATTTGTGGGTCGGATGGCAAACAGTATGACTCCCACTGTGAGCTTCATCGGACAGCTTGTGTCAACAGGGTCCATATCCGAGCAGACAGAAGGGGCCAGTGCTTTCAGAAGCAGATTGAGGATCATGGTTTGTAAACAGTTTTTTTTCTTGTTTTTTAATGTGTGTGTTTCTATAGCCTTTCTGTTTCTATGAAAAAATAATGGCGTAACAACAGCAAAGATGTGGTTTTGTAGATAAATGATGAGAACACTCTGATTAATGAAGATGTTGTGAAAGAAGTTACAACAGATCAAATGGTTTGGACTTGTGTCAAGGCTGCCACATGATAGTGCACCACAGACAGCATCTACATAGAACACATCAAGTCTCCTACCAGATGCCTCATCAAAACTGATGCTGAAAGGCAGAACAGAGACTGTAGAAAAGAAAAAGATGTGTGGCTTTGGTCGTCAGAGGTTTTACTTTCTTGCAATATTATCATTATATTAGTCAGTAGAGTTTTTTTTCTTTTTTCAAACAGAGCATCGCTCTATCCCAGCACACTTAAAGTCTCTCTTAGATGCTGTTGTTGATGTCTGTTATTATTAGTTTCTGCTATAATGATGTATAAATGGACTAACATATGCACTGAGTGAGGCCAGAAGGGTAGAATGTAAGACTGGCCTGTATGCCCAATTCTTAACTCTTTGAAAATAAAATGTGTTTACTTGTCTGTTCATTCATTTGTTTGTTCTGCCTCTAGGTCATTCTCCAGCCCTGTGTGCTTTCATAGACAGTGCATCTTCAATGTCTTGAATTCACCTTCACAGAGGTCAGCCTCTGCCTCTTTTTCTGGAAACTGTACCCTCTATCACCATTCTTTCCAGGCCACCAAGATGTTAAACATGGTCAAAATATCTCAGCTTTTGTGACAAGATGCTGATTATGAGCCAGTTTTCCCCAGTATTCAGATCATGCAGGATGTTGATGATTTTTTTTTTGGTTGGGTCCACGGTATATTAAGAATTTTTCTGCAGCATTTTGTTTCAAAAGCTCTGATTTCTTCATTAATGATTGAGTGACAGTCCATGACTCAGGTCCAGATTGCCATGTACACAGATTGATTGAGTGACAGTCCATAACTCAGGTCCAGATTGCCATGTACACAGATTGATTGAGTGACAGTCCATGACTCACATCCAGATTGCCATGTACACAGATTGATTGAGTGACAGTCCATAACTCAGGTCCAGATTGCCATGTACACAGATTGATTGAGTAACAGTCCATGACTCAGGTCCAGATTGCCATGTACACAGAATGATTGAGTGACAGTCTATGACTCAGGTCCAGATTGCCATGTACACAGGCTGCAAATATTATTTCCATGGGTAGCTATCTAATTTTACTATGTACCCTGGGCAGCAATCGGTTTGGCCTGCCCTACATAACTCTCACAGTGGACACAAGTGGTAATATGCAGTGCCATAATGACAGTTTTTGTTCAATGAATGTCTCAGTGAGGACTTTAATCCCACTCAGAACAGAACTATAGGTGCTCTAGTCTCCTCAGTGTTATGTTATCACAAGTGACGTCTTTGCACATGGGCTTTCCCATGTGTGCTGAGTCATCCGATTCAGCAGGCACTCCCAAGGTACCACTCTAAGGTACCTCTACTGATTGTCGCAATGAGAAGTTGGTTATAGTGTCTCCTGTCTTTACCTTGAAGATGGCGTAGACATGCTTCACCAAGCTTAACTCAGTCATGTAATCATGTTGAAGTCACAGATTCAACATTATCCCCAAGCTAATCTATACAGTGTTGATAATATCAGCTCTGTGCATGTAGCTAGGGAAATCACAAGAACAAGCTTGCTGATGAAGATGGGAGACATGAGCATTTCACCGAGGGCACCAGACGTCTGATTAATCAACACAGAATGGGCGGTGATCAGTCTTGTCACTCTTTTCGAGCTACTGAGGAGGAGATTGCAGCGCTTGCGGATCTTCTTCTTCTTCACATTCACCAGCTGTACACTCTGGCGTAAAGTTGTGGTTGTTCGTCCACTTCTGGACTGCAGTCCTGCTCCAGAACCTGAGTGTTGCATGTGCATCAGTTTTACAGATCTAATTCAATTGAATGCAGACTGCTGGTTCCTTGCCTCTCAGGCAGATGCACTCCGACTTCAAAGGAAGCTCCCCAGTTAGTCGACTCTTACGACATGCTTTTGAGGAGGCAGTGGGTCTAATCTTGTTTTCCCCACAATGGGACCCCGGAACCCACACGGGAGGTCCACTTCCTAATGATTTCTACCGAGTCGTAGCATAGACAAACTTTTGCCATATTCCGAAGCATGTTTGTGGAGTCTGAAAGGATTACTGCATGTGTGGCCACTTATTCTGCTACCCGTGCAAGTGCTATGAACACAGCAGTTATCTCCATGGTCACCTCAATACCTCCACATGCATAAAACAACTGATCATGTGCATTTTGTGTTGACTGATCAGACATTTTGCTTCTTAGTGAAATGTTTATGTATGGCTGCTGTAGGTTTTTATTAGTAGCCTGCTTTTAACCAGCCATCCCCTTGTGGGACGCATTTTTTTTTGGTTATTTTGAAGCCCCACCCTGGCTCTTGTCAGGGCGGCAATATAGTCCCACCATAATGGCTGAATGTGGTTTCTGGGAGCTCTCCACGGGTGATCCTTTGTGTCATCGGGTGTTTATCACTTGTGTGATGTCCTAGTGGAATAAAATGTACTACTACTGTAGCTTGTACTTTCTTATCCACTAACCTGGACAGGGATACTGAGTCCTGCTCATAAATTTCTAAATGTAAGACTGACAGGATTCAGTAAATGAAATTCATCATCATTGTTCTTCTAGAGAAAAGTTGGTTGATGGAACAGGAGCAGTTGTTGCAAGAGGAGCAGGCCAGGCAGACAGCTCAGTCTGAACAGAGCATCCATATTCCCACCCAGCAGATCCAGGAGATGAAGAAAGGTAAGAGTTGTTAACTATATGCTCATATCTCTTCACCAGGGCTGAGGAATTATGTAGCAAAGTTGTGCATTCAGTTTAAAATTGACCTTTTTTCAACAGTGGCGCATGTTGCAAGAATCATATTTTTATAGACCATTGAACACTTGATGGATGATTTCATTAACATCTTGCTGGCTGCCTTTACATCTTAAGAGATTGCCTTGTACGCATTTCAAGCTGTGTTAACACTTAATGTGGATTTGAAACCACAACCTTTCAGCTGGCAGGGTAGTGACAGGCTACTATTCTACTGCAATCCCCTATAGATTCAGAAATTAGCGAGTGACCTGTTGATACAGAACTGGTGATGCCCCATGTGATTAGTGATGTGTGCAGTGTAACTGTTGCTTCCATGGATGTTGAGCTGCATTTCTAGTGTCTGACTGTTTGCATTGGCACTTCTGACCGCTGCCTTCTGCATTTGATGCCTGTGTATACTATTGGATTTGTTGAGACTGCTGACTGTGTCAGTTTTGCCACAAGGGACAGTGATAGACATTCTGTGTGGTTTTTGTTGCAAGGGACAGAGCTTCTTAGGTGTGACCTGTTGCCAAGAAGTTGGAATTCTGATTACCTTAGTTTCCAAAATGTACTTTGTAGAGAGGTCAGGATCATGCTGCATTTCCCAGTAAGTGCAGCTCAGGGATCAACCCAGCCTTATAAAAATGGGTATAATTTATTTCATTTTCAGAAATTGTTAGGGAATGAAATGCAGTGAGGAAAGGAACTACTCATCCCATCTTCTTCTTCTTCTCCTTATCTAGTCCTGTTCTTCCTTTCAGTGTCAGGTTGTGAAGAGGCATCAGTTGCAAACATAGCTGTGTGTTACTTTAGATGCTGATATTTTTTAGATATTCGACCTCTAGATTTGCTTCCATTTTGGCTAAGTGACAGGGCTCTGTGTGGTGCACTCTTTGGTGTTAGTCTTAACATACGCCCACAATATTTGATCTTTTATCTCTTGATGTAGTTTAGCGCTGGTTCAGTCATAGCTTGTTTCCTGATATCGTCATTTCTGATCCTGTTTCATATACTTACATTTAGGATTAAGTGTTTATTTTTATTGTTTTGATTTGTCTTTTTCACTTTGTTGTTAATGTCCATGTTTGGCACTGGTAACACCATGTATAGCATAAGATACATAAGATCTCAACACTTCATACCTCATTGCAGTAACTTGTCAGGAACTATCTGTACCATTACACTTCCAGCCATTGTTGTTCCTAGATATGATTAACTTGCACATATCTTTCCATGTACATTCTCCATTTGCCTAAGGGACTTGGTCTTTTGTGGTTGTCCTTTTAGTGGATGCAGATGCAGCCTCTTCTTTCACTTGTGGGACAGAAGACTCGGTTGTTGTTTTTTTGGAAACAAAAATAATAAAACTCTTTTTTTCTGTTCTTTCGCTGTACATTCTAGTGGAAAGTTCTGTTTGTTCATCCACTTTGCGACTTTAATCTTCTTCTAGACTTTGAGTTTTGCATGCACATCGTTTTATAGATCTAGTTTATGTGTGTGCAGACTGTTGGTAAAAAAAACCTAAGTAGTTGACTCTTATGACTTGCTTGTTAGGGGAAAATGGATCTGTTCTTCTTTTTCTTCTTCTGCATTCATTTGAAAAGGTAAATGGGTTGTACATGTTTACGACTTGGCTGCCATATTTGTGCCTTCTGGCAGATATGTCAAACTTCTGGGGGGGGGGGGGGGGGGGGGGATACAGGGGTTCTGAAGAGAATAAGTAAAAAGAGATTTTTTGAAGGAAACAGAAACACAGACAATTTAAATATTTCAGCAATATGAAACATAACACTCTCATTAAAGAACATACTGTATGTTATGTTATGTTATCATAATCGATGTCACCGTACACTGGGCACACCCATGTGTGCTCAGGCCTCGGATACAGCAACACTCCAGAATACCACAACTGATTGTTCCCATGAGAAGTTGAAGGCAAGGGGACATACAGCGATGCAAGTGGGAGAATAACATCAAGTGTGGGCAAACAGCAGTCTCAGAGAGTGTACATCCAGGGCGAAAGACAAGGTGCATTGGAGATCCATTACAGTCATCCTTCATTATGGAGAGGGCACCTGATTGATTGAACCCCAAAAAAAAAACCATTTTAATGATTGTGGGACTTCCTGTCAACAATGGCGATTGACAGTTGTGAGTATTCTTAAGCGCTTAATTTTTAGGTTTTAGATTGAAACATGGCATAGTGGCCTAGTGTTTATTATACTATATATACCGGGCAGATCCGTCTAAAGAAGCTCATCCTAACACAAAAGCCTTTTATTTAAAGTCGAAGGAGCCATCCAAACCTGAAAACTTGTTCGCTTGAAATAGATTATCTTTATTTGCAATGTAGTCTCTAGTATGAACGTCACTGTTTTTTTGTAATTCACTCAGTGATCATTCCTTCTTGTAATGTGAGTGTCCAAAAGTGAAAATTATGGATGTGGTGTTAAGCTTCTTGAACCCTGCCAAAAGGATGGATCAGTAGAAGACATGCATTGCGCCACAGACCTGTGGCTTTCTCATCTGGAAGAGAAAATGAAAACAAACAAGACTCATTATAATAGCTCTGTGGTTAAAAATTATAACACTGACCTTTCTTTGACAGAGACAGAATCTTCTGGTGCGAATACGGTTCCTCAAGTAAAAGAAAAAGCATCACCTGCATCGACAGAAAGGACAACCACAACAGACCAAGTCCCCGAGGCCAACAGAGAATGTACATGGAAAGATATGGGCAAGTTCAAGGATGACCTGCTGATGTTCTATTGCCAGAAATTTGTGGAGCCAAACTGCAAGGATGAAGTCAAAACTGGTCAGTTTATTGGCTGAGATTGTGTATGTCAATTAGGTGTCTTTCTAACAAGTCTAGACTGGCTGAGATTGTGTATGTTAATGAGTTGTCTTTGAAACAAGTCTAGACTGGCTGAGATTGTGTATGTTAATGAGTTGTCTTTGTAACAAGTCTAGACTGGCTGAGATTGTGTATGTTAATGAGTTGTCTTTGTAACAAGTCTAGACTGGCTGAGATTGTGTATGTTAATGAGTTGTCTTTCTAACAAGTCTAGACTGGTTGAAATTGTGTATGTTAATGAGTTGTCTTTGTAACAAGTCTAGACTGGCTGAGATTGTGTATGTTAATGAGTTGTCTTTCTAACAAGTCTACACTGGTTGAAATTGTGTATGTTAATGAGTTGTCTTTGTAACAAGTCTAGACTGGCTGAGATTGTGTATGTAAATGAGTTGTCTTTGTAACAAGTCTAGACTGGTTGAAATTGTGTATGTAAATGAGTTGTCTTTGTAACAAGTCTAGACTGGTTGAAATTGTGTATGTAAATGAGTTGTCTTTGTAACAAGTCTAGACTGGCTGAGATTGTGTATGTTAATGAGTTGTCTTTGTAACGAGTCTAGACTGGTTGATTTTGTGTATGTCAAATAGTTGTCTTTCTAACAAGTCTAGACTGGCTGAGATTGTGTATGTTAATGAATTGTCTTTCTAACAAGTCTAGACTGGCTGAGATTGTGTATGTTAATGAGTTGTCTTTGTAACAAGTCTTGGCTGAATTGTGTATGTTAATGTCTAACACTGGCTGAGATTGTGTATGTAAATGAGTTGTATTTTGTTTCTAACAAGTCTAGACTGGTTGTCTGAAATTGTGTATGTAATGAGTAGTCTTTGTAACAAGTCTAGACTGGTCTTTGTATGTAACAAGTCTAGTAACTGGTCTAACAAGGTTGATTGTGTATGTTAATGAGTTGTCTTTGTAACAAGTCTAGACTGGCTGAGATTGTGTATGTTAATGAATTGTCTTTCTAATGAGAGATTGTGTATGTTAATGAGTTGTCTTTGTAACAAGTCTAGACTGGCTGAGATTGTGTATGTTAATGAGTTGTCTTTGTAACAAGTCTAGACTGGCTAAGATTGTGTATGTTAATGAGTTGTCTTTGTAACAAGTCTAGACTGGCTGAGATTGTGTATGTTAATGAGTTGTCTTTGTAACAAGTCTAGACTGGCTGAGATTGTGTATGTTAATGAGTTGTCTTTGTAACAAGTCTAGACTGGCTGAGATTGTGTATGTTAATGAGTTGTCTTTGTAACAAGTCTAGACTGGCTGAGATTGTGTATGTTAATGAATTGTCTTTCTAACAAGTCTAGACTGGCTGAGATTGTGTATGTTAATGAATTGTCTTTCTAACAAGTCTAGACTGGCTGAGATTGTGTATGTTAATGAGTTGTCTTTGTAACAAGTCTAGACTGGCTGAGATTGTGTATGTTATTGAGTTGTCTTTCTAACAAGTCTAGACTGGTTGAAATTGTGTATGTAAATGAGTTGTCTTTGTAACATGTCTAGACTGGCTGAGATTGTGTATGTTAATGAGTTGTCTTTGTAACAAGTCTAGACTGGCTGAGATTGTGTATGTCAAATAGTTGTCTTTCTAACAAGTCTAGATTGGTTGATATTGTGTATGTTAATGAGTTGTCTTTGTAACAGAGCCACACTTCTGCAACATATATAGTGCTACTTGCTTATTGTCTGGTAAAACTCACTGCTGGTTGTAGTAGTAGTAATTTAAACAACACATTTGTATGTTGTTTATGTTGCACATTTATGTATGTATGTGTGTATGTATGTATGTATGTATGTATGTATGTATGTATGTATGTATGTATGTATGTATGTATGTATGTATGTATGTATGTATGTATGTATGTATGTATGTATGTATGTATGTATGTATGTATGTATGTATGTATGTATGTATGTATGTATGTATGCATGTGTGAATGTATGTATGTGTTTATGTATGCATGTGTTTATGAATGTATGTATGTATGCTTGCATGTATACATGTATGTATGTATTTATGCATGTGTGAATGTATGTATGTGTTTATGTATGCATGTGTTTATGTTTGTGTGTATGTATGTATGTGTTAGTTAGTTAGTTAGTTAGTTAGTTGGGTTATCATCATTGCACTCCGGACATGTCCATAGGTGCTCAGATCCTCCCCTCAGTATGAATCCCAACGTCCGATGGCTAATAGTACCAGTTCTATGTTGATTAACAAGTCTTCTGACGTGTCCGGTGTGCGTCTCGTTTTTTGCTGTGCCGATCTTAATTCCCAAGTCTGCCATTCTGGCGAGTGATGTGGATTCACTGCCACCAAAGTCCTCTATCCTTCCCATTTCTCTGAGGGCATTGATAATATCAGCATGATCCATAGGCCGACCGTCGGTAGTGATAACGGATCCAGCCAACCTGTCAGCTCTTTCATTTCCATCGACGCCTGCGTGTCCCGGAACAAAAATAAAGGTGACTCCTCGCACAGTGGACTTCTGAATTGATTCAAGCCATTGTCTTCGCACTGAACCTGCCTGAACCCTCCGGATCATACTCATTGAATCACTGAGTATACATATGCGGGTGTATTTTTGTGTTTCAAGCCAGGCAAACGCTTGCGTCACTGCCATCACCTCCATCGTCATGCTGCTGGTTGTCATGGAGAAGGCGCCGTTGGCTTCTTTGACTGTTCTGCCCGCTGAGCGTGCTGTAAATGCCCATGCGCTTCTTCTTTGGCGTATAACTGATCCGTCTGTATAGATTAGTGCATCTGCTTCGTCTGAATTTTCACCGATGAGAGCGTTGACCTCTGCATTAACAGCAACAGGATTATCTTCTCTACATCGCCTGTTGAGTGTGACAATACAGGAAAATGTACAAATAAACGCCTGAGGCACAGGTATCCATTCTGCACCAGGTATGATGTCGGTTAGGCTGCATATTTGCCTAATAACATCTTCTGCCCGACCTAGCCACGATTTTCCCCTCTTCAGTCTGTCGCCCTTTTCACTAAAAAGCGCTTGATGCAGTGGGTGTTTCTTATCAGCACATATTTTGAGGTATGCCCGAGCTCTCCACATCCTGATGTGTCTCTTGTACATCCCAAAATAATACGCATGGCTTCATTTTGCACCTTCTCGAGTCGTTCAATCTGGGTAGCACTGACAGTGAGGATGGCCAGAGCGTATTCAATGGGGGAAAGGACCAGACCATAGAATAGAAGCACCAGCAGTCTTTGCTCGATATTGGAAGCAGCCATAATCCTCATTGCAGATAGACCTTTGCGTGCTTTTGTTATCGCATGGTCAACGTGTTCCCTGAATGACAAGCTGCGATCGAACCTCACCCCGAGAAACGTCATAACGTTGGTTCTGATCAATACATTATCACGCATTTTCACTTCTGGTAAGTCCGACTTGACAATGTGATTGTTCAAAGAGAACCATGACACTGATGCCTTCGAGGGATTGACATAGGCATTGGAACCATCACACCAGGCGGCAATTCGATCGAGTTCTTTGTGCATTGTGCTGGCGATCTCCTGTCTATCACGCCCTCGTCGATAAATCAAAATGTCATCAGCAAATGACAAAGTCCTTCCCTTTCCATTCAACTGCTGCTCAGTGATCATCACCGTATAAACATTGAATAAGACTGGTGATAGCGGTGATCCCTGTGGCAAGCCTGGACATATCGTTTGCGGTTCTGAGGACAAGCTACCACATCTCAGTACAATCTTTCTCTGGAACAGGACCGCAGCAATCCAGCGGATCAGAATAGGATTGACTTCTAGTTTAAGCAGTAATTGCATTAAATAATCATATGGTACTTTATTGTAGGCATCTTCTAAGTCCAACACTGCCGCACATGTCTCTTCTTTAATCTGAAATCCCTCGTACACATCGTAGGCGAAAACAGCAGCATTGGACCATGTCTCTTTCTTCAATCTGTACCCTCCAAGTGTTGATGGGAACTTATCATGTAGTTCCAAGTAGGTGGTCAATCTTTGTGCGACAATTTTTTCCAAAAGTTTGCCAACAGTATTCTGCATCGAGATGATTCTGTAGCCGCAAATCTTTGAGTGGTCTTTATTAGGCTTTGGTAGTGGAAACAAATAACTATGGAGCCATTCCTCTTGTATCTGGCCACTCTGGATGCTGATATTGAATTCCTTTGCCACGCTTTTCAAATCAGCATTCGACATCATCAGCATGTCATTGTATCGGATGCCGTCAGGACCTGGAGCAGTGCTGCGCGATTTCTTGAGGCAAGTTCTTAAGGTGTCTGCAGTGATTATGAAATCAGTGCCTAGCTCAGTGTTCTCGCACAGCATCGACAGTTTCATCTTAACCCCTATTCTTGCAGCTTCGTCTTTTTGGTCAGTTTGCTCCAAGTAGCGCGCAAGGAGGGTTTTTCCTTTATCAGCATCAGTTCTCTGCCATATCAGGTCTGTACCCTGAAAATCAGGGATACCCCTTGGTCGTGCGGCGCCGTGCATGCTCCGTTGAAGGCGCCAGAATGTCACAAGAGATCCCTCGGAGCAAACGCTCTTGCAGAATTCGTTCCATTTCGCTGTCTTGGCTTCTTTCGCAATTAACTTGAAAGCCACTGTCCGCTTGTTGACCTCATCTTTCAGACTGATCAGGCGTTCAGAAAGTGACGGATCAATTTTCCTTGCCTTTTGCCATGCCTTGACAGCGTTCCTTTTTTCTAGCCACGCTATGTTGACTACTTCATTCCACCATGGTGGCTGGGCCCATCTCTCCCGCCGTCTGCGATCTGCTCTTGTATTACGTCGTCTGATTTTGCTAATGGCATCTTGCCCTGTACGGTCATATATAAAAGCAGGCACATTGATTACATGACCTTTGTTGTTGCTCTTCTCCACCAGGACGACGCACGGAAAGTGATCACTGTCATGGTATCCCAGTGTGCTCCACCTGCATCCTGGTGCAATGGAGGGAGACACTAGGGCCAGGTCAATTACGCTGTCAGAATCCCCTTGTCGGGTTGCTATTCGGGTAACCTTTCCGTCGTTCTAGCATACTAGATCGGCAGACACTAGAGCATCCTCCAGGTCTTCCCCCTGTTTATTGGTAATTACATTGCCCCACTGGTTTCCTCTGGCGTTGAAATCTCCGCAGTAAAGGACTTTCTTTTCCTCAGTCTGGAGCAAACTCTGCCATTTCGCTGTATCCACCTTTCCATTGCAGGCGTACACATTGACAATCACAAACTGGGCCGGGCCCATCACTCTGACTGCGTGTACTTGTAGGTCGTCATTATCCCACTCAGACATGTCCACCTCAGACACCAGTATGTGGTCACGAACAAGAATGAGCTGTCCGAGGTGCCGTCTATTGTAGAAGGATTGGAAGCCCGCAATTTTAACCATCTCGTCACCGAGGTGTGTTTCCTGTAGGACAACAATGTCGTTGCTGTAGAGGAGCTTCTCGAAAATGGGTCGGCGTTGACTGAACGAGGCGCAGTTCCAGTAGAGAACGCGAACATACTTTAAGCTGAGTCTCTCACATTTCAGTCGCTTCCTGCAGGCGCCACCGTGCTTGCCTGTTCGCGTTCTCCTTGTCCGTCTACGGGTTGTTTTGAATTGGTAGATAGTCGCCATCGGACGTTGAATACACCCTGAGGGAAGTCTGAACTCACGTGCATGTACTCCATTGCACGGTTCAGACCCCATTCCGATGAAACTTTCACATTATACGTGAGCGAAAATAGTTAATTTGCGCCATTCGCCTCAACGGACGAAAAAGCGTGCCGCCATTGTGGCTGTTTACACCGGAAGTCGTATGTATGTGTTTATGTATGTATGTATGTATGTATGTACGTACGTACGTACGTACATACGGACGGACGTATGTATGTATGTATGTATGTATATATGTATGTATATATATACAACTAATGCTTTTGCATATTATACTTGATACTCATATCTGTATACTTTTATATGAACATAACATGCTTAAGAGATAATATACTATAGCTCTATGAAAGATGAGTGTTTGGAAGAGCTGATTGAAAGACAAGATTGTGAGGCCCAATTTGTAACCTTTCACAACCATTTGTGAGTTTATTTATTCTACTAACACCATGTTTTCTGCTGTTGTAGGCTTATTGCAAAGGGTCATATATTCAGATTACTGGTTTTATATGTGTGTTTGTGAGTCCATGTATGTGTGCTTGTGTGTTTGTGTGTATGTATGTCTGTGTATTTGGGTGAATGGGAAGCTGGGGGTAGTTTGCAGATGCAAAACCTGTCTTGTTTGGGTAAATGAGGTGAACATGTCTTAAAATGTCCTTCACAAAATGACATGAGAAAAGCTGGGTTTTATGTATGTATGTATACTAAGAATTGTGATGTGGTTGAATGAATTAAAGAAGTAGTCTAGTTTCAGCTCTGATTGCTAGGATTATATCGGGTGTTTCACTCGTTTATAACTCGGACACTTATAAAGATATGGCAACGAAATTTGGAGTGGACTTACCTCCATTCATGCGATATCAGATGACATCATAACATACGCTGGATATCACCAGCATTGCCGTCCAGGCTATGGAAAGTCCATCTCAGTACGACAGGTGTCATTGCTTGGATGGCCGCACCCATAAATGGGCATGACACAAGGTCACGCTATGTTCTGCTGCCTAGACACCAATTTTGGCCATTTCCATCAACTGTTATGATGTCACATGAATAAAGGTAAGTCCACTCCAGATTCCATTGCCATATCTTTATTAGTGTCCAAGTTATAAAAGAAATACTGGGTTCCGCCCCACATGAAACACACTATATATATATATATATATATATATATTTCATACCTGCGAAAGATTGTATGCCATAATATTAACTGCCAGCTTGTATCATTCTCCCCAGATCGGGAATATCTCTCAATGCTAATGTTTAGCTACTACGACAAGAACTTTGACTACTACCTGACTGCCGAAGAACTGAACGATAAAGAACGGGATGAGCATTTTATGAAAAACATCCTCTTGAAGTGTCACCTCCACGACTTTATCAAGTATGCAGACAACCTGGAATCAGATGGCAAATTGACTGTGTCAGAGTTCACCAGTGCTTTTGGTACGTGTCATGACAAGATATCAAACCAAATGAGAAGAAGGACTAGTTAGCTTTACATTATTACAGTCATTATAAGACAGGACCAGAAATGACTATTATCAGGAAACAAGCTAGGACTGAATCAGTACTAAACTACATGAAGTGACAACCGATCAAATGTTTCCGACATATGTCAGGACTACTGTCAGATAGTGACAAATGAATGTTGTGGTTAGAAAGCCTTTACGGCATGTGACACAATGTTACAATAATAAACAGCTAGTAAGGTGACAGATTATCCTCATTGCACATTGAACCATTCAGTCCATAAATGCTTGAATTGCCTCCTCAGTCAATCTTGCAGCATGTAGCCGCTCATGACCCTGATTTTATGTTGGTTTCTTATTCTTCTATGGCTTCCAGCATACTGCTCATGACTGGCCACACTCCTTTTAACTTGCTGTTCTTGCAGTCTGGTCATTGTTGCAGACAAACAGGAATACAAAGAAGAATACACACATTTCATTTATCTGTAGTCCCTGCAAGAAAGAAATATTCATACCTTTTGGTCTGTTAGGTTGTTAGCACTTGTTTTTTGTTATTGTGTTATATGATGGTTTTGGTAGTGTTCTGTGCTCTCATTTAGAGAATCTGTAGCACCTTCTTTGGAAAACACTGGTCTCATCATCAGTCAGTAAGTCCTTTACAGAACGTTGCTGTCTTCACGGCACACCTGAAAGTATCCCTTTCACTAGCCAGCTCTCTGGCCTCATGTGCTTTCAGTGCCAATGCATCTTCAATGTCCTGTATCCATCTTCGCAGTGGTTGACCCCTGCCTCACCTTCCACAAACGACACCGTCTTTCACCCTCTTTTCCAAGCCACCATGACGCTTAATGTGGCTAAAATACTTCAACTTTCAGGACAGGATGCTGCTTATGAGCCAGTTCTCCTTGATGTTCAACTCATTTAGAATGTTGACATTTTTTCTCTTCTTGAACACTGGTCTAGCCACTATGTATCATGGCTGCCATTGTCATTACTGGCTATATTTACCACTTTTGGGGTGGGAAAGAGGGAAGTGGGTTTTTTTTTTTTTTTTTAGCTAGAGGATTTAGGGCTACATAACTAGTGCATGACGTCGCCAGGCACTCGGCAGGTCAGTATGAAAATGGCAATTTTTTTCCAAAATCTTAAGTTTGAAGGGAGACGATGGTGAAATGTAGGTTTTCAGACTCATTCTTCACTTGGCTTTAAAAAAATGTGTAGCTACTAAAGAGTGATAACTTTAGTGAAAACTCATTGCTTAACGGTTAGTTATTTTTTTTATTATTTTGCAACAAAATGTAGAAAGCTTTTTTTTAAAAAGTAGCACAGTTGACCTAGAAATTGTAACCAGAATGACATGCGTATTTTACATGGCTACTATTCACCTTTTGCGAGTTCTTGTTACTGTAATGCACACACACAGATGTTCTGTTTTATGATATGAAACATATATATGTATGTATATCATCATCATCATCATCCTTATTCTTTACGTCCTTTTTAGGACGTAATTTTTTGTAATTTGAAGCCCTACTCTGGCTTTTGCCAGAGCCACAATATAGGCAGGCCATCAATATGGCCAATTGTCTGAACGCGGTTTCTGGGACCTCTCCACAGTGATCCTCATCCACATGGTGGCACTTTGTGTCATCGGGTGTTTATCGCTTGTGTGATGTCCTAGTGGGGTAGAAAGTCAGTCAGTCAGTCATCATCCTGTAACACTACATGATGTTTCACCATTTGCTGTTGACTGTCTGATCACCTCCTTCCACCTTTGACGGTCAGATGTGATGGACTTAGTGGTTGCATGACTAAGGCCTGTCCAGTCAGTCAAGTTCAATATCTAGGTCTTTCTTGGTCTGCCTCTTCTCCTCCTTCCCTCTACTGAGCCTTGTAGTATTTTTTTTTTTTTTCGAGAGACCATTATATCTTATTATATGTCCATACCATTGCATTTCCCATCTTTTGATGTATATATGTATGTATATAAGTGTGTATGTGTCTGTTGTGTTGTGATATACATTTTGTGTAGTAAATATATTCCTTGTGTCTGACAGAACCACCAATTCCCTCCATCTCACCACATGCTCAGGTGGAGGTGATCTCAACCCTGGCTTCAGCAGGGAATGGTTTGGAGCTGAAGTGTGGAATTGATGCCGAGACCATTATCTGGAGGAGACATGGGGCTCAACTCTCAGACGATAAACGAAGTCATCAGTTAATGGTAAGTGGCTGGCCGTACCACCTGCTTGTTTGTAAAGTGTTGGAAAGTTACCTATTCAGAGAATACTTTATAACTAATGCTAGATATGCTCTACTCACACACTTCAAATGGTAATCCACTCACACACAAGATAATCCACTCATTTCACCAGATAATTCACTCACATCACCAGATAATCCACTTACAACACACGATAATCCACGCGCAACACAAGATAATCCACTAACAACCCAAGATAATCCACTCACAACCCAAGATAATCCACTCACATTAAAAGATAATCCACTCATTTCACAAGATAATCCACTCATATCACCAGATAACCCACTCACATCACCAGATAATTCACTTACATCACCAGATAATTCATTTACAATACAAGATAACCCACTTACTACACAAGATAATCCACACACATCACCAGATAATCCACTCACATCACTAGATAATCCACTCACATCACCAGATAATCCACACACATCACCAGATAATCTACACACATCACCAAACAATCCACTCACATCACCAGATAATCCACTCACATCACAAGATAATCCACTTACAACACCAGATAATCTACTCACATCACCAGATAATCCACACACATCACCAGATAATCCTTTTACAACACCAGATAATCTACTCACATCACCAGATAATCCACACACATCACCAGATAATCTAAACATATCACCAGATAATCCACTCACATCACTAGATAATCCACTCATTTCACCAGATAATCCACACACATCACAAGATAATCCACTCATATCACCAGATAACCCACTCACATCACCAGATAATCCACTCATATCACCAGATGATCCACTCACATCACCAGATAATTCACTTACATCACCAGATAATTCATTTACAATACAAGATAACCCACTTACTACACAAGATAATCTACACACATCACCAGATAATCCACTCACATCACTAGATAATCCACTCACATCACCAGATAATCCACACACATCACCAGATAATCTACACACATCACCAAACAATCCACTCACATCACCAGATAATCCACTCACATCACAAGATAATCCACTTACAACACCAGATAATCTACTCACATCACCAGATAATCCACACACATCACCAGATAATCCTTTTACAACACCAGATAATCCACTCACATCACCAGATAATCCACACACATCACCAGATAATCTAAACATATCACCAGATAATCCACTCACATCACTAGATAATCCACTCATTTCACCAGATAATCCACACACATCACAAGATAATCCACTCATATCACCAGATAACCCACTCACATCACCAGATAATCCACTCATATTACCAGATGATCCACTCACATCACCAGATAATCCACTTACAACACAAGATAATCCACTCACAACACCAGATAATCCACTCATATCACCAGATAACCCACACACATCACAAGATAATCCACTCATATCACCAGATAACCCACTCACATCACCAGATAATCCACTTACAACACAAGATAATCCACTCACAACACCAGATAATCCACTTACATCACTAGATAATTCACTCACATCACCAGATAATCCACTCACATCACCAGATAATCCACTTACAACGCAAGATAATCCACTCACAACACAAGATAATCCACTCATATTACCAGATAATCACTCAGAACACAAGATAATCCACTCACAACGCAAGATAATCCACTCATATTACCAGATAATCACTCAGAACACAAGATAATTCACTCACATCACCAGATTTTCTGCTCACATCACCAGATAATCCACCAACATTATTATACTATTATCCAAGGCCGTAAAAAAAGAGCATCTACGTATCACATACCAAGGGTCACTCCTGGTGCCTCTTCAAAATCTGATGCTGAAAGTCAGAACTGGACTAGAAAATAAAAATAAAAATAAAAGTTTGCTATATAGCTCTGACTTTCTCCGCAAAGTGGCTGTTTACCGCCAGTAGTGACACACAGAACACAGAATTCCACAGATTGGATGAGCGTTGGATTGGGATCTCTGAAACACTTGTACTTATTTTCTCAAGAATGAAATCCAGAACTGAAAAATGTTCACAGTGTAAGGCAAAATATCAGAAGATTGTTGACCGAGCTTGCATTAATAGACAGGCCTAAGATTGAACATGAGAGTCGCAGTAGTGTAGTGACTACGTGCTCACTTATGGGCCCAGAAGTCTTGGGTTTAAAACCGCATAATGGCATATTTTTATGTTCATTGTCCCGGCTTCCAGGTCGACCCAGCCTAAAACGGGTAGCAGGTAGTACGCTGAAAAGTCTTTCAATCTCATTCAACATGTGATGCGTGATTGACTTTCTCATATGAATCCAGCTATCACGTAATGTGTTCACCACCATTTTACTATTGGTCCATGTGCAATAAAGGAATCTGTCTTCCCTTTTGTCTACTTCTGCTGTGCAGTTTGCCTGTTTGGATGTTATGACTTTTCATAGTGCATCAATTCCTTTGGGCATTTGCTACTAGAACTTCATGAGATTGAAAGACTTGAGGTTAAAGTTGCAGAAAAATTAGATCATGCTAACTAACTCACTTGTTGCTCTACTGCAATCTTTTCATGTGTTACCTGCCAGGTATTTGATGATGGTGCCCTGTTCTTTAGTACCGTCGGCCTACATCACATAGGTAACTACACCTGTATGGATGCACATGATGAGACAAATGCCCAGATTCACAGACTCACTGTTCAGTGTAAGTATTTTCAAAAACAATTTTTGTATCTTAACCAAAAACTTGACTGACTCCTTGGTTACAGTTATGGTATTTAAACAAAGGCATTCCCTGTCTGGGTTACGGGGCCCTATTATTGGGAAAAAAAGGAGTAGACCCATTACCTACCCAAAAGCATGTCATAAGAGTTGACTAATTGGGAGCTTCCTTTGAAGTCAGAGTGCATCTGCCTGAGAAGCAAGAAACCAACAGTCTGCATAAAAATTAGTCAGATCTGTCAAACTGATGCACACGCAACACTCAGGTTCTGGAACAGGACTGCAGTCCAGAAGTGGACAAACAACCAGAACTTGTTGTCGGAGTTTACAGCTGGTGAACACAAAGAAGAAGAAGAAACAAAGGCATTATCTACTGGATGTTCTGTGTTTCCATATATAGGAAAAAGAACATATCACCAACATCATTACAAGCATAACTCCAGCTGTGCTTGTACGTGTTTTTCGGTTGTGGGGGACACATCAAAATTTGTTTTTAAAACATTGTAGTCATGTCATTATCATCATGTAGCAGGTCCTTTGCAGATGGTCGCTCTCATCACGAAAGAAACTCAGTCTCTCACCAGCTCTCCCGCCATATTCAAGGAGTCACTTATATCCTGTGCCCATCTTCGTGTTGGACGCTCTCTGCCCCTTCTTCCTGGTACCATGCCTTCTGCTATTATTTTTTTTCTAATCCGCGAGGGTGCTTGATATGACCAAAATATTTCAGCTTCTGAGACCGAGATGCTGTTTATTAGCCAATCTTCCTTGATGTTCAAATCTTTGGAAATGTCAGTATTTCACTTCTTGTTGTCCATGGTATTCAGAGAACCTTTCTATAGCATTTCAGCTCATAATCCCCTATATTGGTAGTCATGTAGAGCATATCATTTAAATATAATGGTGTTAATGAAAAATAAAGGTTTTTGTCATGAATGGACACTTACGGGACACCCTGTGTGATAAATCCATTGTTAGACAAATGGACGGTCTTTTGTCTTATCACAGAGTAGAAGAATAGCCACTAAGGTCATCGTCATCACAGTCCCATAACATCACATGTTTTTGGGGTCACCAGTTGCAGTAGACAGATCAGCTTCCTCCACATCTGTTGTTTAGTTGCAGTAGACTTTGTGCTTGGAGGCTTGTCCGTTCAGCCAGATTCTGTACACACGTCTTTCTTAGTCTGCTTCAGAACCCTACAGGATTGTACTGGAGAAGAGGACAGTAGATCTTGTTACATGTCTGTAGCCACTGAGGTGAAATAAAAGTAAAGGACCCTTTTCCATGCCTTTAGGCGTATAGGGATAGACCTATATTTTTATAGACCAATCGGCACGTGGTGAATGATGTGGTCAGTATTGCGCATGCCATCTTTACTATCCAGGATTGCACCTGGTACCCCCTCGAAGCTGAGTCGACCTGTTCGCCAAAGTTATTTATTAAAAAAAGCCCGGCTCCATCAGAATTTGAACCCACGACCTTTCCATCTGTAGGCGAGAGTCTAGCCACTACACAACGGTGATTCCCAGCCACTGAGGTGGAGCGATTAAAATAGAATCAGTGTTGAATAAAGATTCTGCAGGAATAGTTGATGGTTCAGCATTTAGTGGGCGGCACTCACATACACAGATAAGACAAGAGACCAAGCAAGATAATGTATCCAACTTTATAAGAAAGCGCCGCTGGAACTACATCGAGCATGCACTCAGAATGGATAAGACTAGACTCCCCAATCAAGCACTTATATGGACACCAGAAGGGAACAGAAAACAGGGAAGACAAAGGGAGACTGCGTAGAACCGTCATCAAGGAAGTCTCAACCATGGGCCTAATGAACAATCAAGACCTAAAACAGGTGGCTACGAACCGCCAGACATGGAGAGAGCTATAACCTCTGCCCTATCCGCTGCCCTAGGCTCAAGAGGAAAGACTAACCAACTCGCTAGAGTCATTGTGTGAATGTACAATGTCTTTACAATGTGTTTATGTTTAATTCTTGAGCGCCCTTTTCCTCTTGGAGCAGATCTTCTTAAGTGCATTGGTTGTATTGGTAACCTTTGTTGATGCCCTAACTGTTGTTGATGCCCTAAGCATTGCTGATGCCCTAACTGTTGTTGATGCCTTAACTGTTGTTGATGCCCTAACTGTTGTTGATGCCCTAACTGTTGTTGGTGCTCTAACTGTTGTTGATGCCCTAACCATTGAATCCTCTGTGTTTCAGTGTGGAACTTATGAATATAAGTCATGGACTGTTACTTAGTCTTTGAAGAATAATTCAGAGCTTTTGAACTGAAGTGTTACAGATGAATTCTTACAATACCTGCTGATTGATGACGATGTCCACTTATTTGGCAGTTTGGTCCCACAGTCTGTCAGAAGGCTTCATGTTTCACCAGATCCTTGGAAGGCTAAACTTGTGACTTTCCTCAGACATTGTATCTCACAAATTTTGATTTTGCATGTTTACAACCATATGTTAAAAGAACTATTAAACAGTTAGTTAATTATCCTTTACAGGAAGTTCCAAATCAACCCTAGAATCTGTTAACAAATTGTAAATTTTACTAGCCAGTCGTATGTTCAGTTGTTTGCCATTGCTTTCTGGGCAATTGGCTGTCTATACCATGGCTATTCAACTGGCAGTTCACGGGCCAGATTAGCCCAGCAGAGACCTAGGAAACAATATAAGACCGAACAAAAAGCGAGCTTCACAATGTAACAAAAACAAAATGTGAATATTGCGGCAATGAAGCCTTCTTCAGCACATACATAGATTAAATAATACTACACAATATCACTTATCTTTGTATCTTGTGGCAGCCAGGTTGATGTCAAGAGACCTAGGAAGTGCCCCGTAGATCACCTGACAATTGTTTTGTATTAATGATTTTTCGATGCTGAGGCTTGCGCCTCTGGCCCGTGACGATTGATTTTTTTAAACTGTCTGGCAGCCGAGTAAACTTAGTTGTATGACCCTGTTCTATGCTGTTGTTGAAATTAACGCAAAGAGGCCTGCTGTAAAATTGCCTGCAGCTATTTCAGAATTACAAACTGCATTTGTAGCTTCTAAGCCACAGATGCTACCTAAGTTACTGTGTAAAAAATCTTAATAATTATGTTTGTGATGTTCTCAGCCTTGCCGGTGATTGAAGTAAGTCCTGTCACACAAACACACATCACAGGATCAGATATTGAACTCAAGTGTCATGCGGAGGGAGTACCAGAGCCAGTCATTACCTGGAAACACGGAGGAGAGTCACTGGAATACTCACCTCATATTACTCATTATTGTAAGTCAGATGTATTTTATACAGTAACATAAGAAGTAATCTTAGTTTGAGCTTCATAGCAAATGGGTCCCTCCTATAATTGCTCCGCTCCTGTGCCAACGAAAAACACACAGAATGTTTACACAGTCCCTTGTGGAAAGATTGTCAGACTGTTGTCTCAGCATATGCACTAGTATACCCACGCATTAAAAGCATGCAGTAGCCATCCGAAGTGCTAACACAAACAGTCCGACATTAGAAATGCAGTTCATAATGGATGGTAGCAGAAGTCACCAACAGATCAGCAGTTGCACATGCGGTTAGGAGAAGTAACTTCAGGAGGACATATTGACAGAAAATAAATTTTATAATCACTGAATGTATCCTTCTACAGGATGTTGCAGAACCATCCCCTAGCGTGTTTTTTTTTTTGGCTGCTGTGGTTTTTCTAGGCACATTTTGCCATTGCTTTCTGTACGATCAGTTTCTTGATACCACTGTCAAAAAACCAATGCAAGGCGCAATGCCCGCACCTGGGATCAAACCCAGCACCTTGGCATTACAAAGCATGTTCGCAACGCCTAAGCCACAGACGCCTGTACCTGCCAGTACAGATTTA